CTATAAATGAAATGTCAAGCTCTATGTCAGACAATGTTCTCCTGTACTCCTTGGCTGTTTTACTGAGGCCCAATAGTGGTCACCACTATTTTTTTTAGTCAGAACTTTTATTTCTGTCCTTGTGCTCAGGACTTGCTTGCTGGGCCAGAGACCTGGTGTGGCTGCTGGAGGTCAGTTTCTTTAAATAAAAAAGTAATCCAGATCAACATGGGATTACAGGGCACAGAATCTCCTCGTGGCTAGGCAGGGTCAGCGTTCATGGATGGCAAACCTGCCCTGAAGTTTCAGTCTGCAGTAATACACCTGGTTCCTTGCTGGCTGTTGCCTTCCTCTGCCAGCAGTGAACTTACCACAGTGCTCCTTAGCAGTGAACTCGCTGTGGACCTCGGTCCAGCTGAAAGGATGTGCCCCACATCCTCAGGACTCAGCAGTCACAGCTCAGGGCCTGCTCAGATGCTGAGCTCAGGAGTAGGTGCAGTCCTGGGTGCTGAATCCTACAGAAAATCTGGGTTTTACTTGGGTGCCAAGACATCAGCTGAGCATGCAGGAAAATCCAACCCTGTACAGTTGGCACCAGCTCCTTCCTCACTGCTGTTTGGAGTCCATAGGGTTTCTGATCACAGTGACCACCTTTCGGTGCTGTGGCAAAAGGTTAGATCTCATCCATGTTCAAATAAATTGTTAGGCAATTCTCAATGTGTGCTGTACAGAAGGCCAAATCCAGAGTAATGCTGAGCCAGGGACCTGCATGGGAAGCCAGGTCTCATTCTGAAATTGCCTCAGCACACACACACAAACACCCCAGATATTGGGGTCTCTGTGTTAGGATGCTTTGGCATCACAAATCACCTTTCCTGAGTCTTGTTTGTTTTTCCTATTTATTTTTATCTGCTATGTAATTAAATATCATTATAATGTAATTATTGTGTGAGCGCACTCAGGGCTGGGATCCAGCCTGAGGGAACTTCAAAGCTCTGAGCTGGGCCCAAGAGGTCCAACATCCTCTTCCTCTGAGCTCGCACAACACCTGGACTTAACCAACAGCCACCCCAGGAGCTCCTTTTCCTGACCAGAGATGCTTAGACCGACACACCAGGGGCTCAAAGCAAGCTGTGCCAAGAACATCAAAGTCAACTTCTACTGGCAACAGAACCTTTGAGGAAAGTGGGATATTGCTGTGCAGAACATTACAATGATTTTACAATAGCTGTGTTTAAAAAAACCCCAACACCTTCAACAACAGGAAACAAAGAAGGGAAAGATCTGAAAGCAAAGTGCTCCAGCAGAGCCTACGGACACAAGGGGCAGGAGGAGAGGGAGCAGAAGGAGCCTGACTCTCAGCATGTCGAAAGAAAGCAGCTCCCGTATCTGCCCTGCTCAGCTGAAGCACACGAGGATCTCCGTGTTGCATTTTACAGAACTCAGTGAGGG